TTTTCTTTGAATTTTTTCGCAATAATATTTGAAGAACAGATAACTTGTAACACATTTTAATGCAAAAAAATTTTTGGTCGGAGTCCCCCTTTAATTATCTAAGTTCCTATGAGAGATATCAAAATTTGATTAACTGGTAAAATGTTCGTCATCATCTATCCAGCATTTTATTTGTTGACCGATTTCAGATATCTTTTATAGGAACCGAGATATTTAGTCTCAAAGAACTATCATGTCGGAATCTTTATCAGTAGGTAGAGAATTTCCAAAATAGGGTCCACCGCTTTCTGATAAAAGCGCTCTTAAGATAGCTTGTCCTAAAAATTTCAAACTGCAATACTATGGCCGTACTATATGTTATTTCTTCTAAAAACAAGGTTCTAAAATCTTTATAAGGCACATACCCCCTAATTTTCAATTTTGAACCAACTTTTCTCGGTTCCGGTGAAAGACATCAAAAAGTTGTTCACTGTTAAAATGTTTATCATTATATCAGAAAGATATTGCCAGAGACCACTTTTTTATGCCTTTTACAGTAACCGAGATAAATTGAATCAAAGTAGTCAAGTTAAGTTGAGAGGTGTACGGTATGTTTAGAAATAGGGTTCTATCTCGGTTCCTATAAGAAATATCAAAAACTGATAAACCGAAAAAGTGTTACTGATAACATGATAAACATTTTGTCAGTTGACCACTTCTTGATATCTCGTACAGGAAATGAGATATATGAGCACAAAGTTGACGATCGGGAGAAAAGGGTTCTATTAGATTGGTTACGGTATATTCTCAAAAATCAGCCAATTAACAAAAAAAAATAAAGCTCTTGAAGTTTTATATTTCTTCATTAGTTCGTAACTTTCAAAAACTACTGTATTAGTTCTAGAAATTTTGGCACATGGTACATTTTAATAGTACATAACTTGTCCTATGGGGTAACCTACGATTGTAAATCTTATGGGTCTGACGATTATATATCCAGGGAAGAATTAAAAGGTACTGTATTCTACGACAGGCTAACCCCTAGGCCATGGTTCTGACAGGTTTGCCCCCAGGAAAATTATGTGAAGAACGCTTGAAGCCAGGGGGGACTTTAAAGGTACTGTATTTCAAGGCTGGCTAACCCCTAGGCCATGACCTCGTCAGGCTTGTCCCCAGGTAATCGAACCTATGGGTCAGTCAAAAAAATTGTTACACCCCTCCGCTCCGACACGCTTCCCTCCGTCCCATGGACCAAGTGTCCTATCTATCAGGGGTCAACAAAAACAAAGAAATTGCTCATCCTCTCTCTCTCTCCCTCTCTCTCCCTATCTCTGGCTGGGGAGCTCCAAAACCAATTATCATCGACGCGGAACCCTGCGGGAGAGAGAGAGAGAGAGAGGTCCCCTGAAAAAAGAGCAACTTTTCTCTCTTTCTGTCGTTTTTTGCTCTCTCGTTATTTCCGGTCGTCGTGGTCCCTTTCGGGGGCTCTCAATTTCTCTATTTTCCACATTTTGCTCCCCTAAAAAGTGGTGTGGGGCTCATTTTCCCCCCACGATTCCTAGAAAATGGACATATTCAAGTGTTGTTTGATGGGTGAGTTTTTAGAGAATTTGAAATTGTTGAATCTCCCGCCGGATCTTTGCTAGAAGGACATGAAAACGAAAACGAAAAATGGCAAGAGCACTTTTCAAAAAGTGAAAGATTTATGTCCGTCCTCATCTGTCAGTTTTTTTTTGGCTTGGCAGCTTTTTGGATCTCTGAACTCTCTGGGGCTTCTCGTTGGTTCTTTTTTGCTCTCACTTTACTTGCTTTTGGCTTTTAGGAATCGATTTTTGAGAGAGATTTCGAAATCTTAGGATTCTGAGATTTTGAGATTCTGAGCCATCTATTTTTCTGCCAAAGTGGCGATTTTCAAAGTTGAAAATGTTTTTGGGGGCTTTTTGATTTGTAGCGATTTTTCGAAATTCCCAGTTTTTTGAGACTTTTTGAGACCTAAAAAATCTATCAGTCAAAATCAAATTTAAATATCAAAAATCATCAATGAAAAAAGTGATTTTTTGGTGTTGTTCTATTTGGAAAATATTATGAAACCAGATGGTTTTTCTCTATTTCTTCTCTGCTTCTCTAATTCTCTTGATCTCTAGTTTTCTATTTTTCAATAGATGTATACATTGTTCGTTTTGTTTTGAGTCACACAAAAGTAGTGCCTCATTTCAGAGTTTTGTGGGCGGAGCTTATATTTTAGAGTTTGAGATATTTTTCAAGATATAGCAGGAGTTTTTTTTTTAATTTAAATTTTTTGTATTTGGTCAGATCGAAGCCCACCCAAGCTGTCAACTTTGAGCTCAATTACCTCATTACCTGTGAAAGATATCAAAAAGCCTTCAACTGATAAAATGTTGGTGATAATATGATAAGCAATTTATTAGTTGACAACTTTTTGATATCTTTAACAGGAACCAAGAAAAAATGGCTCAAACTTAGAAGTCAAGGAGCCCTTCTATTAGAGGTTTTATGGTGTTTAAGGAAATCGACTGGAGATGAGTCAAAATAGGAGGGGAAAACTTGATAGCCTAACTTTTTCTAATGGTGGCCTAGAATCCCAAAACTAGTTTTCTAGGCTTCAAAAGATTCTGGAAACTCTAAAAATCTCAAAATTATTTTTTAGACGAAAATAGCTAATATCCAACCATTTTACCTTGGGTGGCCGAGAACCTCAAATTTCCTTGACGGCCTAACTTTTTCTAATGGTGGCCTAGAAAACCAAAACTAGTCCTTCAAACTTGTTAATGTTCTAGGAACCATAAAAACCAAGAAAATAGCTCATTTCCATTTCGCCTCTGGTGGCTTAGAAACCCAAAACTTGGCCACTACTCTTACCTCTCTCAAATAAAATGTTTATCATAACATCACTAATCATTTATCAGTTGACAAAATTTTTATAACTGTCACAGGAGCCAAGACAGTTGAGCTTAAAGTTGACGGTTCTTGTGAGCTTCTGTTGGGGGAAATACGATATTCGACTTTCAAACATTTTTAGGATTTTCCGGCTAAAATAGACACAGTTTGGTATATTGTTAAGTCTATTTCAGCTGGTAGTGTCTTTTAGGAGCCAATTTCTGATAATTTCTGACTGTTTTAGAATTTTTAAAGATTCCAAAAATGTATGTACTTTGACAAAAACAGTTGGTTTTCCGTTATTCTCTTTTCTCTTTTTTGTCCAATTAGGCTTATTTCCGGTTTCAAATTGATTGAGTTTAATTGAAACTGAATCTGTCAGTTTCGATTTTTCAAATTAAAAAATACAATTTGTTGAAAGTTTAAAGGTTTAATTGTGAGATAGATTTCAATTAGAATTAGTGTCCAATTAGCGCAATTTGAATTGAAGAAAAGAGGGATTTTTCGATTTTTTTTTATTTTCTAAACTTTTTTAAACCTTTGGGGCTTCAATTTAAAAGGGAACACGAGCTCCTTGAAGTTCGGAATCAGGAATTTTTCAAATTACTTAACTTTTTGGGTTTTGAGATTTTCTTAATTCCTATAAGCTTTTTTCGAATTGGGATTTTCAGATTTTTTGGAATTTTCCAAAAGTTCCAAAAATGTATGCATTCGAAAAATAAGAAATAGAGAAGAAAAACTAAACGAAAAAGAAGCAGTCAGAATTTCCTAGTTGTCGCCTAATCTTTTCGCCATCTCTTCATCTCCTTTTTTCTCCCTTTTCTCTCTTTTTTTGGCTCTCAAAGAGCAAAAAAAAGGAGAAGAAGAAGGACGACATACAAGCTTATCGATTTACTGATATTCTATAAATTTCTGTGTGCAGATTCCTATTTTCGTAGAGTAAAGTTTGAAGAATTCTAAAATATCTATTTGAAAAATGATGCCTTTCCTACTTGCTATGTCACCAAGAAGAGGTAATTAAGAGGGGATAATTGGAGTTTTTTGTTTGCTGAAAATTTTAGAATATTTCAAAGTTTGGAGTTTTAGAGTTTTCTGAGTATTTTAAAAAAATTCAAAATTTTGAAAATATTCGAAATTTCTAAAATTTTGAAAACCCGGAAAAGTTTAAAAACTGAAAATTCTGAAGATTGAGAATTTCCAGAGAAAAACACTCGAAATCCAAATTTTTTGAAATTCATAGTTTTTGAATTTCAGATTTTCCGGAATTTTCTGATTTTCCAGATTTTTGATGTTTGATTTTTCCTAATTCCCGAATTTCTGAATTTTCTAGGTTTGGAAATTCGTGATTTTCAGAATTTTTGGAATTTTTTGAATTTCCAGGAATGCCTTATTTTTATGGTTCAGGACTTTCCTTGGATGTTCAAAAACCTATCGCTCTGAAGAATCAGAATTTTCATTTTCAAAAAATACGAAAAGTTCCGAAAAATAAAGAATTTCAAAACTTTGAAATTTCGATTTTAGTCTGGTGGCCTAGAAATCCTAAACTAGGCCACATTGTTCCAAAATTGAAATGATCATTAATAGGCTCAAAATCAATGTTATTGAAATCTATTAAGAGATTTTGGTTCTCCACAACCTGTGCTTTCCAACCAACTATTTGCAGTTTCCGATTGGTGGCCTAGAAATCCAGATTTTCCAAAAACTAGACCATATTGCATATGGTTTGAAAGCGTAGATTTTGGCAAATTGGACCAATTTTCAGATTTCAAAAATAACACTTTTGAATCGAATTACAACTATTTGAAGTTGGTGGCGTAGAAACCACAAATTTTGCAAGAACTAGGTCATATTGTATATGGTTGAGAAGCCCAGGTTTTGGCAAATCCAAACCTGTTTTTAGATTTTTAAAGTGTCAATTTTAAAGCTAGTTACAACTATTTCAAGTTGATGGCCTAGAAACCCAAATTTTGCAGCAACTATTTAAAAGAAAATCAAATTTAACGACTAACTACAGTATACCTACTAACCCATTAAACTTTGTGACCCTCTTCTCAATGAGTAAAAAGAAAATCTTCAACGAATCCCAATTTTTTCAGACCCATCAGATCGTCCGACTGGTGGAGCATCAAACGAGGAAAATTCGGAAAATCGATATCAGAAAAATCAGAAAAATCAATTGCCAAGTGACGGATTTTCTGGTGGAGACGGTATAAAAATGGCTGACGACGAGGAGGAGATTATTCAAAAAATCGAAGTGAAACCCGACGAATTCAATGGGCTGATTGGTTCGATTGCTGGAAATTTGATTCGGGATAAGGTTCGGTTTGGTTCGGCGGGAACTTGAAAAATCGCGAAAAATTTTTTTTTTGAATTTCTGATATTTTGGATTTTTGATTTCTTTAGCAATCTTGAATTTCTGAAAATGTAGAATTTTCAAAAAAATAATTTTCAAATAATTTTTTTAATTTTCAAAAATTTTCCCAAAAATTCAATTTCAAAATTTTTTAGGTCGGTGGACCAGGTGGTGACATCCTCGGTGGCCTCGCCAGCAACTTCTTCGGAGGTGGTGGCGGAGGCGGCGGCGGCGGCGGTTTCGGCGGTGGAAACGGAGGATTCGGAGGAGGTGAGTGGGCGGAGCCTAGGAATAAGGGGCGGAGCCTAAAAAGTTAATTTCTCCGAAAACTTTTGATTTAGGGGTAATTGACTATGCTGATTTCAAAAATCATAGTCGTTCTGGATGAAAATCAGTGGAAAGTTGTAAAAAATTGAAAACTAAATTTTTTAAATTTTTGCTATTTTGTAGTTTTTATAGTCTAACTCACTTTTTGCACCAAACCAACCTATATATGTTGTCCATGTTCTAAAAAACCCCCGAAATTTTTTTCTTTTTTGTGCCTTTTGCTTTTTGTTGCAAAGTAATCCCATTGTGTGTAGGTTCGAATAGTGGCGGAGGATTTGGCGGCAATTCAAATAACGATAATCAAGGAAAGAGAAAAAGGGACATGGCGAAGGATTTGATTGGTGGAATTTTTGATAATGTCGTCAATCGGAAAGGCAAACGGGACCAGGATAATAATGGATTTGGTACAGTTTTTTTGGTTTTTTGGTTTCCTGTTGTTGCTTGTGATTGCCCAGCTTAGGCTTTTTCTCAAGTGTTATGCTTGGCGCACCTTTGTTGGCTTAAATATTCCAATTTTCTAAATTATTTTAGTCAGAAATTACGCTCTCTTGCACTTTTTTTTCGTTTTTTAGTCTTCTAAACTCCGTCCAACGTAAAAACCGTTATCCTCTGTTTCCTGAATAGTTAAAATCAAAAATAAAACAATATCACAAATGCACTCTACTGGACAAAAACTTTTTTGGAATTTTGAAATTTTCGAGAATTTGTTGAAATTCCAAATTTTGAATGAAACTTCCTGAATAGGCCAACCCCGAAAATCTGCAAAATCGGCGACCACTTAACCGCCTTCCTTACCACTAGAGCCACACGGCCGCGTGGTGTCGGGGATGTGATGTGCGCTGGTGGACGCGAGATCAGGGGTTCGATCCCCCCTAAGGTTTTCCTCTTTTTTATCGTTTTTCGAGAATCATCAAGTCCTTCTAGGGGTTATCCGATAAAAATTTTGTGATTTTCATCAAAATTTGAGGTCAGTAGAGCGCCATTGTTTAGTTTTTTTTCTAAATCACATTTTAAGTTTAGTCTTTTCACAAAACTACCGTAATCCAGGCGGTCAGAATTACGGTGGCGGCGGCGGAGGAAATAATTACGGTGGTGGCGGTGGAAATCAAGGTGGCGGAGGATTCGGCGACATTCTCGGTGGACTTCTAGGTGGCGGAGGTCAACGAGGCGGCGGCGGAGGTGGACAGAACTACGGTACTTATAAATTAGTATACTGTAGTGTTTGTCACTTTGCACTAGAGCACACTTACTAATACAAATTACTAATACAACTAATTGGAGAACCCTAGTCAGCTACAGTATACCCAGGCGTACTGTAGTCAGGTACAGTAGATTAACATTACCATTAACAAACTAAAAAGGTTTCTAAAAATTTAAATTTAAACTTTGGCATGAAAACTCTTTTTTTTTGCATGATTTTCGGTTTTTGTGATTCTAGGCGGAGGCGGTGGCAACAGCGGTGGCGGCAGCGGGATCGGATCACTGGTTGGATCCCTGATCGGCGGTGGCGGCAACACTGGTGGAGGAGGTGGCCGAACTTTTTGGTGGCCTAGAATTCCAGCAACATGACTTTTCGCATGCCACACACTATTTTGCATGAATTTTAGGGATCTAGAATGTCTAGGACCTCTACATAGGATTACTGTAGCCCAACCAAACTATGAACTATTTTTTCAGGAGGCGGCGGCGGAAACTACGGTGGCGGCGGTGGCAATCAAGGAGGCGGTGGAGGTGGATTCAACCTCAACGATATTGGAGGAATCATCAATAGTATGGGAGGTGGCGGCGGCGGTGGACAGAAGCAAGGAGGTAAGTGGGCGGAGCTAGAGTTCTTTGGTGGCCTAGAAATACAAATTTTGAGAAAACTAGGCCATGATGTACATTTTCTTAAACATCACATTTTGAGGGTTCAGAATCAGTTTTCTGAATTCGGAAACGTCGATTTTGAGCCGAGTTATACCCATTTCAAGTTTTGTGGCCTAGAAATCCAAAACTATGCCATATCGCTCCTAAACTGTATTGATAATAACTCGCTTCAAAATCAATACTTTTGAAATATAAAAAATGATTAAGGTTTCCCACAATCTGTGCTTTCCAACCAACCATTTGCAATTTTCGATTGGTGTCATAGAAATCCAAATTTTGAGGAAAACTAGGTCATGGTGTACATGGTCTTAAACATGATGTGTTGAGGGTTCAGAATCAGTTTTCTGAATTCGGAAACGTCGATTTTGAGCCGATTTATACCCATTTCAAGTTTGGTGGCCTAGAAATCCAAAACTAGGCTCTATCGCTCTTAAACTGTATTGATAATAACTCGCTTCAAAATCAATGTTTTTGAAATCTAAAAGCTGGTCCAGAATTCTCCGGAAATGACCGAACTTTTAGGAAATGTGGTTTTCTAGGCCACCACCAAAAATTCTGAAAATGGTCATAGAAATTGAAAATCTGTAAATCTAGATCTAATAGTCTCTAAATTTAGAATCCCTAGAAAAAAAATTATTTTCAGGAGGTGGCTTCGGCGACATCCTCGGTGGCATCGGCTCTCTGATCGGCGGTGGCGGTGGTGGCCAGTACAATGGCGGTGGTGGAAATGTGAATCCGAATCGTCTAAACGGTGGAATGGTCAACATTATTGGAAATCTGATCGGCGAGGCCGCTCATCGATTCTTGGGTGTCGACCCATCGACAGGAAGGATCATTGGAGCAGTGGCTGGAAATGTGATCATGGGATTGGGTGGAAAAGACAACTCGTTGGGAAATATTGGA